TCATACCTTCTAGGTAATTTTTAAAAAATTGCTGTGGTATACAAATTACATATAGCAACATTATGGTATTATTGGGTGAACAACATAGAAAAACAAATCCTTTCCATGGAAGTGACTCACAGAGACTTCAGACTGAGGACTTATAATATTGTGTAAAAACCTCGCTATAAATATATGATGCTAGACTAAGCTGGACCTTTTTACTAATTCATTATCATTATTTCTTCTGCAAAAGAAAACAAGTCACATCCTTTTCATTTAAAGAGATTAATTTTTCAGACCTAAAATAAACAGAAGTTACTGATGGTGTAATTTTCAAGTACAGAAAGGGTGTAAATTATTTGTGAGCTACTCTGGTCAGTCCAGAGGAATGAGAGATCCACCACCCTTTCGGCAGACAAGGGATTCAAATCTCTCAGCATACCTCTCTTAGGACTGCTCCAATCACTGTAATATTCTCATTAACATCTCTAGCTCCCTCCCAATGAAGTTCTTATACTTCACATAAATACAAAAATAATTAATAGAAGGAATGTCTGGAATTGCACCGACTTGATTAATATTTATCAAATTCTCTGTTTTCTTTCTCCGGTCTAATGTATACTGAAATACTTTCTTCAAACTGGCACAGAGCAATGAAAATACTTCATCCTCAATCCCATCTGTTTTGCTTAATCACTGAATATATTATTGCACACTGAAGAAACTAAGACCAAAATTCAAATCCCTCTTCCTGATAATCAGAAAAAGATTTACACCCAAGTTGCTGTGTTCAAGATAAGTTGTCTACTCCCCTGGAAACTTATAACCCAGAGACATCCTGCTTCTAATTCTGAGGGACAGAGGGGAGGAAAAGAGGAATATGGAAAGAAACTAACAGGCAAAGGGTAATCCCCCTCTTATCTAGAGCCAACAGCCAGGAACTGACAGCAGTTTTTTTGATCAGGGTATCATTCTTACACTCACCTCTGAATCTGATTGCATTGAAGTTTAGAGGCTGTAGAGATTACATTACCTGTGAGCCAAGTCCATCACTTGATGGCTTTTTATTCATCTTCAAAAACTCTTTGGACAATCTTAGTTAGCAAGTTATATCATCACATATGATCAGTGAAAAAAATTAAATAACCTACCCTGACAGACAGTACAACTCACCTGGTTTTTACAACAGAAACTCCATTTTAATATTTGGGTTCGGTAAATGATGAAAAAGATAGCACATGTCAACACAAGTGAAACGAAAAAAGCAATGAAGAACCCTGAAGCACTGATGGCATGGCTGTATAAAATCTGAAATTAAAAGATCATTTAATTAAAATGTTATTTTAGATATATATAAAGATCAGATAACTGTAATTCAAAGACTGTAACTGTAAGTAAACAATAAATTATTTTTAAATAGCTTCACACAACTTCAGGATTTCTCAGCCTTATGTTACTACTACATCTTGAGTTATATTTTCAAACAAGTGTGTATTTTAAACAGGTTTCCAAGTCAGCACAGTTTGATATGTTCACCTTATCCAAACTCCTGTGTAATTCAAGCAAGAGAACTCTAAAGACTGAATTTCTTTGCCGTGACTTTTGGGTGTCCTGTGCTTAACAGCCTATTTTCCAAAGCTGCCACTGTCCTAAGAAGTTTCACTGAAATTGAAGGCATTTGATGTTGCTCATAGGCTCTGCAAAGTCAGTAAGATGTTGGTTACTTTAATTAATGGCCATTTCTTGATTCAATGAAACTGAGTAAACGCCATAGGGAGAAAGTACCAATATGAGTTCAGAATAAACTTGCAACTGACACCCACCCAATCTGTGTGCAACCTTGCAGCTTCTGCATTAGCCTGAGTCAGAAAAGGCTGGCAGGAGCACTAGAACCATGAGCCTGATAACAACTTTGTAGACCTTTCATTTTAGCTCTAATTAACCTAATCTTTACATTGAATTGCATTAAAAATTAATTTTTGCTTTGTGTTCTATGTAGCAGAAGTTAATTCAATGTTTGTTTAGTTCTATGAGATCTTTCAACGAAAAACATAGCACAGCTACCGGTATAATGTTTCACCACAAACTGATCACTCTGCTGGAGCTGTAAATAATTAACATGGTGTTTGCAAGCTGGGTTTGGTTTTTTCTTGGAGCAGAAACCTGACAGCATTCCATAGAGTCAATGGTAATTCTGCATAGGAAACAATATTCAAACGTGGCCCATGACTTGAAAATAATTTACTGCAATTTAACACCTCTGTCACATCAGGACTCTGACTGAGATCCCTCCGCTTTCAGGGAACAAGAGATGCCATAGTTAATACTTAGGGAAAAAAAGCTGCTTTGAAACCACTTCATCATTTTGTTTGAACCCATTTGCATTTGTCAAATTTCCATGCACTCTGTGAAATTTAAGGATCTCTCTAGGCTTCTGGGGAAAGCAAGGATCTGGTGAGGCTATGGATTCAGCAAAGCTAGAAAGAATCTGCTTAGCTTAAGTTTTGGTGAAGAAAAAGCACTGGCTACAGAAAGACTCTGTGCTTTCTAAGTAAAAGGTGAGACCCATGGTGGGACAGTCAGTCTGCATGAGGGCAGGCAGTTTTGTCTGTGCTTTTATTCTTAAAAAAAATGGGGTCTGGAAGGACAGTCCATGTCATTAGGGGGGCTGTCAGTCCAAGCAGAACACAGCAGGTGCTCAACACCATCTGAAAGCACCACAGCAGGGGAGGTGCCAGAGCCCTGGTTCAAGTCAAGACCGGTGGTGGCCCTGCAGACTGACCTTCAAACGACAGACACATCAGCAGGCCTCAAAAGCATTCCTTAAGCTGACCTCTAAAGCCATCCCAACAGTGGGAAGAGGCATTACAGACCCAAGTTTCTTTCAAGAACTGATGTGCTCCCACTGCTTTGCATGATGCTGAGGGAAGCAAGCCTCATAAAATTCAGTGTAAAGGAATTATCATCTCTCCCATGCAACATGCTTAGATGGGAGAACTTCCCTTTTCACCAGTGTCCCACTCAGCATCAAACTCTCCCAGCCAAGGGCAGAGGCACAAAGTGTTCACAGGCTCTGAAGCCCTGTGGGATGACATCAGCCACGGACACTCAGATGAAAACACTCAAATATTTTTCATAACCCACAAAATCACCTTGTTCCAGGCAACCAAGCACTTGCTTCCAGTGGCAAAGAGGAGAAATCCACAGTGTTTGTAAAACTTTAAAGAACAGCATAGTATCTAAGGTTCAAGCATATCACGTGAAAACTGATGGGACCAATGTAGCATGACACTGCCATGACTACGTAATTAATTTTTCACTTGTCATTCCCAAAGGCAACATCTATTGTCCACTTAGTCACATATGTGCATTGGCTTTAAAATACCCATGAACAGATTTAAATAATTATTTTAATAAATAAATCTGAGGTGGAGAGCATTTATGACAGCTGACAATATGAAGGAAATAAAACACATCACACCTTCTCCAACTAATCCTAATTTCCTTGCACAAACTGGTTTCATTCCAAAATTGTTATGCTAGGCCATAGCCCAAAGTCAAATATTATGCATGTGAAACATGATGTGTTAAATAATTTCTAAGCTTTATTTTTCAAAAATTTACGGTATTTTCCACATATCTTTACCACACATTTTAGTTACAAAACCTGTTCGTTTACTAAGTTCAAATGCAGCTGAGCTAATTTCACCTACCTACAAGTTCACAAGAACTTTTTGAGGTCTAACTATCAAGCTGGAAAAAATAATAAGCACACTTTGTATAATAACAGATTGCAGAAATTTTCATGGTCAGTTGAGACCAATGTAGCTTACAGTCTTGGCTTAAGACATCAGCAACTGCTGCAAATCAATTCACACTGAACTCTTCAGAAAACATTCATGAAGTTATTTTTCTAACCCAGTCAGCTACTTCATGGTTTACACCTCTAAGACTTTCCAAAAAACAGATTTATGGCAAGTCCATTTGTAATTCTTAGCTATACAAATGCCCAGTCCTTTTAATTATTACTAGATCTTTATCCAGGGACAATGAGCTCTCTTGCTTATGTAGTTTTACCTCATATGATGTTTAATTATGGCTTTGATTTTAACAGAATGAGCATCTGATCTCCAATTACAAGAAAGCAATGTCCAGACATGTATCAATTACAATAATAAAAGCTGAGAAGGCAGAGATCCCCAGCAGAAGAGAATACTGGAACAAGAGGCCGCTATACCCAATTTCCAAACAGATTACTTATTCTAAAGGCAGAGAGAAACTCATGGGACAGGTCTACGAAGGAATGAACGGTCTAGTCCTCATGACCTATTCAGACAAATCCTATCCACATGCACAACCATGGCAGAAATGGTCTATGGTGAAACAAACTCTTTGCTTCTGCCTGAACACAAATAATCCCAGTACTCTTGTGTCAGCCCACCCATAGCTTCTTTAAAAACAACCCCTTGCCAACAGTGGCCTGTCAAACTAATGAGAGGCTAGGGGAGGAAAACAAGTTTGGTGAAGAGATTACTCTAGCAATGAAACTGATGAATGAAGTAGAGAGTTTTTTAATAAAAAATTATCAAGAAGAATAATACTGCTGCAATCAAAGTAATTTTGAAGGTTTATTTGGACTGTTAAAAACTACATTTCAGAATTACTTCAGAAGCCAAGAACAGAAAGTCATATTGGAAGAATGCCTAGTTAAAACATGAAAGGAAGCATAAAATATGCCACTCTTTCTGCAGTTTTATTTCTCAGGCTGAGGATCAGCATCATACAGAAACCTTCCCTCAAGGGGTAGAGGATAACTTTACCCTTTTGAAAAAACAAAAAGCTTTCTCATGGTAGTTAGGCACAGCAACAGGTGAGCGTATTCCTCATCACACTTTCCTGTGCCTGGATGATTCTTCAAATTAAAGAATATGGCAAGGAGCATAATGCCATTTTTAGATTTCCCATACTAAATATTGCTGGTTTAAGACAAAAAAAAGACCCCTTATGTTGAGTCCTGTTTTCTTCTTCTTAAAATCTGAGAAGGCAGAACTTGTGTACTATTACGAGCCAATAGCTGAGTGATGAGACAAGTACACAAGCACATCCTTAGTTCCTAGGATTAACTTTAGATTGTCCAGAAGTATAAGCAGGAGAGTCAATGTAATACCAAATCATAGAAATTACCTTGGTCTTTTCTTCTTCCATTATGGTAAATGATGCTGTCAATGATACGAGATGTGTTTTATTCTGAGAGAGATTAAAAAAATTACCTGTATTAAAAAAACCAGAATCCACTGGAAAACAGCCTAGAGTCTCTAGAAAAGCCTTTCCTTAAAATACTAGCTATGTTTATTATTAAGCTGAAAGCTGAAATAAATCTAATAGGAAAACACAGTGTACTTAGGGATAACACTAAAAGACATGGAAGCAGCTGCTCTGTGGGATACACTCCCCATATCCCAATTCACAAAGTATTAAATTTTTCTTTGCCTATAAAATCTGGGTTGACTGAGAATGCACAGAACAGAAACCAGTATATAAATCAGAAATCAGTATATAAATCTCTACTTTGCTACCATATCCCGTGTTTTTAAGATTTCCTCTCCACTGCTCTAGTACCACTCCCATGCGCATGGAACATTTTTCCTCAAAAAAAGAAGGAGAAAGGCAATTGAAATGAAAATACATCTGCAGGTTATAATTATGTGTAATTATGAAAACCACAGAAAAACCATCAAGCCATATTTAAGAATTGAAAAATTTTACTTTGGCAGAAACTACATGTCCTGTCTCCTACTCAAAGCCAGGCTAATTCCAGCAATAGACCAGCTGTTTCAGAGCCTGATGCAACAGTTTTCAAAAATCAGCAAGGATGGACATTTCTCTGCTTCTCTGAAAAATCTTTCAGACCCAGGAAACTCTTATACCAAAAGTTATCTTTCTTATGAGCAATGACATTTTCCTTTGCTGCAACTTGTTTTTCAGTTAAAATAAATTATTTTATTATAAAAATATGGCAAAACTTTCAATCTCTCTTAGACTTCAGGAACACACACGTAAGCATGTCAGACACTTATTTCCAGGATAGATCAATAAACTGGAGAGAAACATGTAAAGTATAAAGAAAGGCTACAAGATAACACACAGATACTTTACTTAAGGAGGACTAAGACTTCTTAAGCTATGAAGAATTATTAGTGCATTTATAAATTTATGGTAAACAGTCAGAGAGCCTAAGAGTTTCCTTTCATTACATGATGGCCTCATTGTTTAGTCAGGCAAGAACCACCTTGGAGACTATTTTTTACAGAAACTGTGGAAAGCAGAATAAAATTGTGAATAAAATACCTGTGATGAACTCCTGAAAGTGAGCTTTGCAGGCAGTGTCAAGACCCTGCCATGCCACATTTCTTCTGCATCAAGAAGTGCAGAGTAGTTGATTGCAAAGTATTCTCCACCTATTAAAACAGGGATATGGATAGATTTGCTCTGTTCCATGAAAATTTCTCAAAGATCCCTATGGAAGGCTTGGGATAGCACTGGAGCTTTTCCTTTCTGACACAGCAGATGCCACACCTTAAGAGTAGGCAGTTCATAGCCACTTAAGCTCAGTAATATCCTTCATGTCTGCTGCCTCTATGAATTCAAGTAAATTCAGCCCAGGATCTGGAAACTGCATTAAATGATGCCCCAACCTATCCAAAAGCATTATTTTTTGATACCAAAACTCTATATGAGACTATTTTAAAATATTATTATAATAAAATGGACTGCCTACATTTCAACCACTAAGATGTTGATTCTCCCGTTGTTGAAACCAAAGAGAAATCTGACAGATTTCAGGTGAATTTTGATTCACAATGCACTGAAGTATGGAAAAATTATTGTGGCCAACATTTAGCATGACAGTATATAGGCTGGTGTAGATAGAGCCTTTCTGTCCAGCCCTAGTGGCAAGGTATGGGCTGACTTCAAGATTAATACAGTAATGACCAAACCTCAACCTATGCAGAAATCTAGTCTGCTGGATTTTCTTCCACTTCAGTATTTTTCACACTCATTTGTCTAGAAAAGCTAGCTTCAACTCCAGATTCAGTAATTATAAAAAAAATTATGCAGCAGTTCCAACTTGGCTTACTAGACCAGACGTGCAAGCCATTTTTCTATTCTTTCTCAGGGGTAATTGTTTCCAGGAAATCTCTGTGGAGAGCCAGCAATTCCTTGACATTTCTAAAAAGACCAGTCCTGCAATCAGTACCACTGCTCACAGTGTGTTATCAGAAATGGAGTTTGGCTATCCAATTGCAATCAGACAGCAGCCCCAAGTCTACTTATTTCCGTTTTCTATGTGGAAATCTTTCACTATAAAACTATCATAACCAGAGATACTTTGAACATAAACAGGAATCAGTGAACACTTCTGAAGCTCCTGGAGAAATATTGTGACTCCCAAAAGCAAGCTGCTAATTTTTGACGTACTTGTGATTAGGAAAAAGGAGATGAAGAAATCAAGAAAGATAAAATTTAATGCGTGTGCACTGATTGAAATACCAATTAGAAAAGGAACAAACTGACTTCACAACTGAAAGAGGTTTATTTCTCTACTACTTGCTTTGACTTTATAACTTGTTTAGCTTGAAGAGAACAGATATTGAGATGAGCTGCCTTATTTCTGATGAATCATTTTCCCTGTTTGCATGACCTTTTGCAATTCCAATGCACCTCAATAGCTCAGCAAGCTGAACTGCCACACTTGGCTAAAGATGGCTCAAAATATAATTAAAATGCCTTTTGCAGAAGTTTTAAAAAATACCCAAAAAGAACAAATACAATTGTGAAAGACTCTTTAATTTTTGATGACAACTTTTACAAAGTACAGGAGGCTCAGCTCTGCGCCTGGAAGCAGTTCAAAGGTGGGAGTTAAAACAGTTAACAATGAGCTGACAGAATTGGACACTGCAGCCAGATTTTTTCACCTGTATTAACTGATAATCAAATAATTTACACCACTGTAAATAAATAAGTAAATACTGTGATTTTAAGATGCATTTTGACAAGTGTTATCAGGGGTGTTTTACTGCAGATTTTGTTACCTTGCAAGAAACTTTTCCTGTAAACCTGTATGCCATCTGTGGTCTTATTCCCACTGGTTTTTTGAACATGTAGACCAGTGATGTTGTCCAGGAGGATAAGATCTGTGATGTTTGTTGAGAGCAATGTGTTGGTGTTATTAATCACAAGTGTAATGTATGCAGTTTGAGGGTCATGTTCAACATCCACCTGAAAACAGAAATATTACTATTAATGGTGCAAAATGGCTGTATGTGCATCTTAACAGCAAAATCAGACTAGATTACAAATAAAATTTCATTATATGTGTAAACTTATTTTCTGAATGTATTCTGACCGATCTGCAAATGAAACTACATTCAGTTTGATCTCACACTCCCAGTGAGATTCTAACCTTTAGTATGTCAAGCTGTTGCTTGAAGACAGTGGCAGAAAGCCAGAAGGTGGAAACCCAGCTCATACAGGACTAGAACCTGAATATCCCTGTGATACTGCATACAACACAAAACTGGACCATAACTTTAAAAGCAGACTTTGGAAAATTCTTAAATTTGTACCTTTGTATCACGAGGATGTTTCTTTTACAAGCTGCCTCACTGCAAAGTAATTCTCTCCAAGCAGTTTTGGTCTCTATTTTCCTTTCTTTCATAGCAACCCCACTCTCTGAAGGATGCTGACTGTCTTGACTTGCCCTTCCCACGAGGGCAAATGGAGCCACCAGTCAGCCTGGGAGTCCATGGCTCTGCTTCCAATTAGCAGTGAAGGTCATACACTAACCACCAATCTCTAGCAACACGCACTCATGTGCTTTTATTTATTTATTCCATTAAGCCCCTAAGTCTTATTGAGCAATTATGCCCTATAAATGAAATTATTCTGAGCACAGAGCTGCTTACTGACCTCTCACCTTCCAAAGTGCCTTCCTCTGTAACTTGTATTAAACCAGAATTGTTTCAATCTTTATAAGACCTATAATAATATGGTGATCTATAGTATATTCATGATTATTTATGAGGTTTCAAATAATGACACCAAATTAATAGTCCTTTAACTACCAGAATTATGATTCAGGCCAAACCTTTCTCTTTTTAGATCTTCCTTTTAAGGAACTGTTTACACTGTATCTGGACACCAGCAAATATAAAATAATAAAGCAGTTCCCAAGAAAAATGAGTTCTAAAAGTATGAATTGTGATAGACTTCAGAAATCACACCAGAGTTCATGGTAGCCACAGGGTTCAATACATGTAGCTATGGTCTCACTGTGCACTGATCTCTGCATTTCATTCTAATTCAGCATAGAACCAGATCACAGTTTTAGAATTACAAGAATCAAGGAGAAGAAACAGCTTAATGAAATTATTATGGCTTAGTTACCATTTCTCTATTTAAGTGACAAAATTCCCAACTGTTTATTGTATAAATAGTAATAGCTGCAAACAATGTATAAAAATGTAGGTATTAACACAAGTAAAAAAATAGGCTTAGTTATATTTCTGAGGAAACCATCACCAATTTCATATGCTTGTATATAATGAGTTATACCTCAACTTCTGAGAGTTTAAATCATCAAGTATTAAAAATGTGCTATATTTTGGTCAGATTTTCTCTTTCCTGGTTTCTAAACTAGCATGATGCAGTCGATCATGCAAAGTCGATCAAAAGCAAAACCAAAATGAAACGGGAAAAAGTCTCAAAAGCACATTTCTCATTAATATTAAATCCATTCCTTATTTTTGACTAGCAATCAGACTTAAATGCAAAGGGCTTGAAAGAATTCAGATTTTTTTTTTCCCCCGAAATCAGCAGGTGAGTATCAAGCAACAGGTATGGTTTGACTGCTCCTAGAAAGAACTCCTCTGTACAGTGCTGCCACTGTGTTCAGTGATCATTGGTTATCTTGTTTAACCTGTTCCTCTAATTTGCCTGAAGATGTTTTTTCTTGCTTTTGGAGCAGATGGTTAGGCTGCCAGGCATCTACAGGAACCAAACCCAATGGCAGCCATTGATGATGCCTAAGCACGTACTCTACTTTCCCTTTGCTGCTGAAGTGCCCCATGTGTGTCATCACCCCTTGCAAGCGACCTCACTTCAGGGACCTGGGAGAGGGGCATGAAAGAGCCACAGTGAGACCATGGACAAGACAGGAGAAAAGAGAGGAGGAAGGAATTGCCAAGGAAGTTGAAAGAAATGGAGGATTCTTGCTAGGAATAAGTTAGAACATCTGGAAACAGCAAAGGAAGTATAAAAAAAATATTATGGAATCATTGATAATCTCCAATGCACGAATTCTTAGGAGATTAAGAAACAAGGCAGGTGAAAATATTAGAAAACAAGCAATTAAATTTAAAGATTTATTTCAGCTCTGCTAAGGATTATTGTCACTGTGAAGTACTAGTACAGAAAAGTTCAAGTCATACTATTGAATGAAGCTCTTAAAGAAACATTTCTGGAAAGAAGGATGACAGTAGGTGCAGGAAGCACTGGTAAAATTTAAACACCTCAGTTTTAATAAGGCTATTTCTACATTAAGATGTTGGAAAAATCCTGACTCCAAGAAACAAACATACGACACCTGCATGGTCTGAGGAGCAACCCATTGCAGGGGGAGGAAAATCTGCAAAATTAATTTTTTCCATTTAAAACAGCTAAAGAGCACCATATGGCCAGTCTGTCTCTTAGCATGAAAGCATTTGTTCACTTGAAATAGGACTGAAGCAGAAGACAAGGTAAGTCAAGGAAAATTAAATGTGAACTGCATTTGCAGGTGGAAGACAATCACATATAATTGTATAGTTTTCAGTAATTTCTAACTGACAGCACTACAAAAGTATTTTCTGATAAAGCCAGCATCTACAGCAGATTATCTTTAATTTCCTACAGCAGTTATTTTGCAGCTTTTAATGAGCCTGTGTGAGGCTGTGTTGTAAACAGCAGAAAAAACAACATGGGACTGTTTCAAAGTCTGTTTCTGACAGGCTCTGGTATAAAAATTGAGAATCCACAGATAGAAAAGCAGAAGATTCTGTGTAACTATTTATGTCTGAAATGCACACTATTCAGCCTCATTAATCATGATATGCTCCCATTTCAATAACAACATTAGAGGTGATTAGTGCCATGAGGTGTGATGCATATTCATTCTTCTCTACACAGCTGATCTGGTGAGGTTATAATGCCACCTCTTCTTTACTGGTTACTGAATCCTCTACCCTCGAAGGCACCATTTCAGTGCCTGAATTCAGATTCATCCTAAAGTTGGATGTGGTCTCTCTCTCCAAGAGACAGCTAAGATGAACTGACTGTAATTACACCTGCTTCATCCAGTGCAAAGAAAGGGAAAAATAAAAAGAAAATAAAGACAGAATGGGAAGTTAAAAATTTCTTACAATGGGGATGTCTTTGCTCCTCATAAGCATTTACACAAGTCAAATGAAACCTTTTTGCATTAAATACTGTGCTGTAGCTGAATCCCACTGAATATGCACACTATGACACAATGGCTTTTCTACAGTTGTGTGTTAGGATGCCCAAACACACAATGGGCAACACAGGGATCAGTTCTTCATCCTTCAAAAGAAGTCCACACCTGACTCAGGTAGGTCACCCATGGCTGGGCCAGTGGAATATCTCAGAAGGTTTATCTCATCTTGCAAAATTTGTCTGTATCTCTACCCAGCCTCTTGGCTGATTACTCCAGAATTCATTGGGATTTGCCCATTTGCAGTTTTAGAAATTCACAGTCAGGTTTTTACTTCAACCACAATCCAAAATGCTCTGAAGCCGGAGAGATTTCACTGACTTCTGTTTTGAATCAACATTGCAAATGTGCCTCACAGAGAGTGGGACCATCATAACACCAAAATGTACATACTTCCAAAAACTCAGCATGGGCACAATTAGGTTCCCACTTTTTAAAGATCATTTGGTCATTAATACCAAATTAACAAGACAAATGTAAGAAAACTTACCATACCACATTTCTGAAGGGTTATTCCAAATTCAGAAGACACTGACATATTGGACACATCTTCAGGCTATGGAGGAAGGGGAAAAATTTACATAGGGTATAAAAACATACTTCACAAACTTCAGCAACAAGTTAAATTATATAAATAAAGAAATTATTAAGAAAAATTAGAGGTACCAATCGCCCTCAAATTTAGGAGTTTTATTATCCCAACAGTTAAATCTTTTTTCTAGTCCAAATGTGTAAAAACTACTTATTCCCACAAGTAATTATTAGAATCTTAATTTATATATTTATCTTTTGACTATCACAATTCACAAAAAAACCCCACACTATGCACGAAGTTCATCAGACTATACAGATTCTTTTCATTACTAATCGTCTACCAGAATTGACCCAGCAATCACACAGCTGTACCTGTCACAGTAATTCTTTGGAAGTCCCAAAACTAATTGGTGTTGCGGAAGTGATGTCAAATGAGCACAATCATCTGAGACAAAACTAGAAATGTACTAACTGGATAGTAAATTCCCAACATCCAGTTTTTACAGAGTTGCTACAATCCTTACAAATACTGAAAGTGGTAAATTATCGTTTACTGACCAGGAGGTGGCTGACGTCAGATTCTCGTTTGAACAACACCTTCTTTGTCCATGAGGGTATCAAGGCAAACAGCGAATGGCTCCACTGGCTGGCTGAGGCTGCAGAGGTCAGGAGCTGGTGAGAGACTTTGCTTGCCTGAATGACCACAGGTAAGGGCACTGCTGAAAACCAGAGCAACATTCAGCATTAGAGCTAAGCATGGCAGCCACTTGGTGCAGAGCCCAGCCAGGGAGGGGGCTCACAGCACCACTGGTCTGTGTGCACACAGAGCCAGATACTCTCCCTCAAGGCACTCAAAATCATGACAGGCAACAGAGACCGAGGCCAGCCAGGAAACAGAGATGGGATTTGTCCTACAAAACCCAGCAGGAGTCAAAAAAACACTGCTTCCTCCCTAAGGAACTCCTGTAATACCTCACAGAAAACTTATTGCCATTTAAATATTAAACACTTAATGCATGAATTAAAAGGTTTAAGTCGTAAGTCAACTGTTAAGATTTTCAACAAAAAGAAACTTTCAGCAAAGCATAAAGAAATAAAACAATCCACAATGTGAAGGCATCAGTGCTAAAGGTGTTCTGCTTCAAAAATACAGTCTTCCAATTAAGCTTTGACCTTGCCAATACATATTCAGAACTGAAATACTTCTCAGCTGAGGATGGGTCTTGGTTACATTTCAGCTGAAGTGCCATCAAACCAAATGCTCATAAATTTAGTAATAAGCAATATAAACGCTAGCTTATACTCTTAAATTTTTATAAAATATTAGTCAGTGATATTACACAAAGTAACAGGCATAGTTTTGAAATCATATCACTTTAATCTATGTAAAAGCACCTATGATATTAATAAAATAAGCTTCTACTAAAAATAAATAATTTAATATGTTAAATTGTAAAAGGTAAAGCTGCTGAATTAAGAGAAAAATGTCATGAAAATTTAAAATGATAGTTGGTTGTCTATGTTCAAAGACGTTACTTTTTTCATTTTTCACTTAGTATTATTTTCATTTATTACTTATTTTAAAATAATTTTTCAGCAATATATATTAATATGAACAAAACCTCCCATTAAAAAGGCAAATAATTTTGTGAACTGACTTTTCTATGAAAAAGCCTATTACATACTAATAAAATATGAAAAGCTGAAGATACTAAAATCTCATTAATATGAGAAGCAGCAGGTTTTTTGAAAAGCCTCTGCTTTATACGAAGAACAATATAGGGCAATACAATTAGCTGCAAATAGAAAAGCATGAACTGGACCCTTAAAAGGAACCTTAAAGCATTAATGCACACAGATTACTGAAAATAATTCTGTTAACATAATGAACGAGATGCAATCCTGTTGCTTCCAAAACCCTGGTGGGGACACACTTCAAGAGTTTCCCTGTCTTCCCATGTTTATTTGGAAGGGAGTAGTTTATACTCAACAAAATTGTGGATATACGGGCCAGGGAAAGCTGGTGTCTATATTTTATGACCAGTTTTAATTCACTTCTTCAAGTTTTACTTAAATATTTAAACCAGTGTTAAACAATGTGGCAGACTCAGACTAATTTAGGGACTATAAAAACAACATGGCAAACTCTGTAAGAACAGGAACATGTATAATTACAACAAATGTCTGCGTATCTTTAGGGTTGGAATTTTTTCAAGACAGTCATGCATGGCTTATTTCTACTTCAAGACTAAGCAATGGTCCAAATCACTCAGAATTAAACCAGTGCTGAAATTTCAGTTCAGTACAAACCTGCTAAATACCAATCTGAGCTCACCCAGCTATGGCACTCCCCAGCAGATCCAAATACACTGTAGCTCACCTCCAATGGCTCTAAACCTGTTTCTGACTACTGAACCAAGCCTCTTTGCAATTTTGTATAAATATATTCTTACACTGAAAAATATTAATTTTATATATGCTGTGTCTCTCACAAATTAATGCAATTGTCACCCCATTCCTGTGAAGGTGGGAAAACAATTCTCCTTTTTCTTTTCTTGCCTGACTACAGGAAATTCACTTTCCTTTACAGTAAACAGAAACCCTGAATGAGCTTCTCTGTAGGGCTCTGTAAGAGTCAGAAGTCAAAATGACAAAATGTATGACCTGTGTTGAGCAACTACTACCTTTCAAGTGCTTCTAGTTTAGCATAACTCTAGCTTCTCGTTTAGATAGTTTCCTTCTGAATTTTGGATGAGAGCGGTCAGCCAACTAGAAGTGTGTAATTACTTCCTAGAGTATCTTTCGATTTTGTGTCCTGTGTAGTATAACATCTCCATGAGCACACCCAACTCCACTTTACACGAGACAGCAAAGCCTGACACTCCCCCTCTGGAGTGTATCAAGTCCACAGTAAACAATTTAATTAACTGATCATGTTCCCTGACTTTGAATCAATCTCTGGATTAATAATTACACAGACGAGCCTGTTTTCAAGCAGTGCTTTGTCATCACTTACAGTCCCAAGAGAATGTGCCCAACTCCCAGCAGAAGTCTCCAGGCATGTTATTTGGCTGCTCCATCATCATTAGTTGAAGTAGTTAAACATTATGTTAAGCAGCCTCAACACTGATGGTGATGACAAGGATGTTTCTGCAAATCCACTTGTATCTTCCCAGTGCTCAGTGGAAGGTTTTGCTTAAACAGATTCAACCAATATGAAGAATGTCCATACAGCAACTTACACCACTCCCTTTCCCCAGAATTCTTCTCATCCTTCCTATTAATTTTTAATAATTAACAATATAGGCTGTTCCATAATACCCTGGATCCACTGCCAGTAAAGCTGAATTTTTCTGTAGCATTCTGTAGCTTCTAGTATTGACTATCATTTAAATAAAATAACTTTTTTCTGATCCACACATATTTAACTGTCACTGGAACAGCTAATCTACAAGAACTTAACTGCTTTTCCACATAACTTGCTGCATACTCAACATCAGCCAACATAATTGTATTTATCAATTCACTTGCTGTCTCTTTTCAGGTAAGATCCTACTGTAGATGTCTGCTGGGTGCTTAAAAAGCTGGACTTTAAAAACCTGAGAAAGGATGGTACAGGCATAATACATTCTGTCATTTTCACAGAAATTCTAGATTTCTGTTCTGAAATTTGGGTTTTTTTTAACAAATAGATTAATCTGACTTTGGAAAATAGTAACTTGAGTGCTGAAACCTTTCACTGAGAAGCACAGAGCTTTCTTTTGGATGCTGCTCAGAAGTGCAATTTGTTTCCATGGTGCCATCAACAGTGCCCCTTGAGAGATGCATCCCTGTTCTGACAATGATTCTGAGGACTCTTTGCTTCTTCCACTCTTTTCTTCCTACAGCTTCAATCTTTGCCATTTTTCTGGCTGTTTTCAGAAAAGCCATTATCAGGCTGCATGGTCATCATTTTCATGGGTTTTTAAATGGCAGCGACTCCCACTCCTTTTTGAAAGAAATTCTCTGCAACGCAGGGGAACAGTTTCAGCTTTCCACACAGCCCAAGCAGTCCCCACTCAGCTGGGCTTGCCAGGCTGCCACCAGGCATTCCAGGACTCCAGTGCCTCAGGCCAAAACACTTCCCAGCAAGCAAACTAGCAGAGCATGGGGCTTAATCTGGGGCTTTTCTGTAAACATCTCCAAAGATGCCAAATCAAACAGTTCATAAAAGAAAGACAGTAATTTCTCTTTCTTTTGAGATGTGAGACAATATCACAATCTCTCAGAAAAAAAATTTCTTTGTTTTATTTTTTAATTAAAAATTCCCCACTTTTAAAAGGTATTATCAAGCTGTTAAATATTTTATCTTACTTTTAATTAGCACATTAGTAAAATGTTTTCCCATTATTTAATTCTACATAAACTCAATATAAACAGATATGCCAGAACCCTGTCTTAACTGTATATTCCTAGCTAATTACCAGCACTGGTAGGTAGACTTTGTATTGAATTTAGAAGTGAAAACACAAAAATATATATTAACATAGCTGCAACAGCTGGAATATTGGCGTAACACTTGACCTCTCATGTTCCTACAGTATTCACTCAGTCCCCCAACGTGTGCATTCCACCACCATACAAAATGACAAATGCACAGTTGATCAGAGCAGACTCTGCTACTTAATGTTCAATTCTCTTTGCTGGTCTCCTTAAGTAGTTACTTGCCACTCCAGGTTTGTGCACTATTGCCTTGGGTGGTGACTTATTGCTCTTCTGGGCTTCCAGCTGTCACACTCAAGGCACAGGCAATATGCTTAGGAAGGAGAGTTCCCCACTGCCAGCCCTCACTGCATTCACTTGCTGCTCAGGGGAGGATCCGACCTGGTACAAAAGGCACGTGCTGTGTAAAGAGTGTGGTGGCAGTGGGTCTGTGTTCATACAGACTGGGGGAAGAAGAATTCTTATTCTTCTAATTCTTACTCTGAGAAAATAAATTGTCCCCTGATTATGGTCAGCACACTGTCCTTTGCTTTGAAATTAAGTTCTGTGTAAGGACATGGACCTGGCACAGCACAAGCCTTGACCACTGGACTCTAGGAGCTGAGTCCTGAATGTGTCAGTGGCATCGACAGCCCACCTTTAGAACAGCACATACAACATCATGATAGAAGCTTAGGTGAAGGTTACTCTCAGCTATAGCAATTAAATAGGATAAGAGAAAATTAAAATAGTCTTATGATACGTTTACATCAAAAACTCCAGTATGTCCTTAAGGCTCCCATGCCTTTACAGCCCCATTCTAAGCAGTAGAATGCCAAATTACAATAGGAAAGCAAAGACACTGGCAAGTTTGTGAAATTTCAAGTTTAAAATTAAAAATGAGAGCAAAAAGAGCAATTTAACCAAGATATTAATTCTAATTTATGGCTCTCAAGGGCTGAATACTTTAATTCGGATTCCAGAGTCTCACTTGCTTACCCACCACAAATTTATCAGCAAAGCTTTGAACAATCTTGCTTTATTTCAGTGGGAAAGAAAGGAGTTAAATATACTCACTTGCTATATTTTTATTGTTGTTGTTGTTCTAAATTACTCCCTGTCTTGAAAACCATCCAGGATACAAGATCCAATTTGAAGTCCTTTCAATTACACACAACAATGAACAGGCAAAGGTAGCAATTTACGGTATTCAGTTTTGAATGTTGCCATTAGCTTTTCTTGTTACAATGTCAAAGAAACTATGGGTATCAACAAGAAAAAACAAGTCCACTTTCCAGGTCTGTTTTGAATAAATGAAAGCAGACTCAAATATAACTCTCAACAATCCATTGTGCTACCCAGTCGCAGGAACATTCTGGGTTTGTCTTTTCTCATCTTATGCAGAAACAACTCGAAAAAGCTTCCAACAGAAACACTGAGATCAGTGTGCTGTCACAAACCATTTCACACTTCAGCACACTGCCAGTCTCAATGACAAAGCTTTTATGCAGAAGGTCCCATCTCTCTGCTTTCATCAAGAACATCTTCAGTGAAAACTAAAGAATCTCATACTCTGATTAGGCAAAACACTAAAGCCTTAAGTTTTAAATATGTTAAAAAAAGATGTTTACTAGAATGGGACAGTTTTCAGTGATAAAATCAAGCATATAATTCAGTCCTTGTAGCACTCATTTAACACATATATTTATCTACTAACAAAATGCCAGAATTTCACAGAATCACAGTAACTGAGTTTGGAAATTACCCTTAAGTCCAATTGCAAACTTAGCACTGTGGAGTTTACAACTAAACCATGTCTTGACGCGCACATCCTTGAAACACCTCTGGGGACGGCATGGCCACTCCACCACTTCCCTGGGCAGCCTTTTCCAACGCTTGGTATAACCCCTCTCATGAAGACATTTTTCCTAATATCCAAACTAAATCTCCTTAGGGACAACCTGAGGCCATTACGCCTCAACCTGAGAGAAGAGGTTGACCCCCACTTCACTATAACCTCCCTTCAGGTAGTATAGAAAGGGCAAAGGTCCCTCTCGAGGGTCTTCTCCAGGTTAATCAACCTCAGCTTCTTCAGCTACTCCTCACAAGACTCATTCTCCAGACTCTTCACCAGCTTTTGTTGCCTTCCTCTGGACACACTCCAGCATCTCAGTGTCTTTCTTGCTGTGAGGGGCTGACTGAAGACAAGATTTGAAGTGTAGCCTCCCCAGAGTCCAGTTCAAAGGGACGCCATTTCCCTCGTCCTGCTGGCCACACTATTTTAACCACTAACAAAATGATAATGGCATGCCAAAATCCTCAACTTTTTTTTAGGGCCAGAAAGCTTTTCTTAAGTATAAAACCTTACTCATTTCCTCTCTTAGTGGATGGCACATGAATAATTTGCAACCCATCACAAAGCAGGATGCAAACAGCAAAGATGACATTGAATAAATATTGGAAAAAAATAAGCTCAGCAAATCTGAATTACTTGCTTTCATATTTAAATTAATAAACTCATTTGTGAATTAGCCATGGCACAGGGCAAAGAAATTAGAGGTATCTTACTTGATGACTGCTTCAAAGCATGTAATTTCCTGGCAAATGCATGTCATGAAATCATCTCTTGGGGAACTGTAGTGATGGAGAGGTTTATGTAACACACTGTGTTGCCTTGTTAATGTGCTATATGAGGCCATCCTAACCTTTCAGGATATACTCATCTCCACTGCACTTGGGTGAAGTGGGACACTATTTATAATACGTGTATAGAAATTAAAGACTGGAGACTCAGAGAAACAGAGTGATTTTCTCAAATTTACACAAAGAGCCTGTGGCAGTCAGCCCTCTGATGAACCTACTCCAAGCTCGAAGTGACTCCTCTAGGTTTTGGGGTATCTTCCTTCAATCAGATTACACAACTACCACTGGAGATGTTCCCTGTACCTGAGATCACTGACAGGAATACAAGGAAACAGTTGCATACCTGCCATTCCTAGGCATCCCATTTCTTTCTGAAGCCACAGGTCATCTTCAAAAACCTGGAAGAGAGCAATTATAAAAAAGAACTCTTTTCATAAATATCTGTTGTTGAACTTTTACATTGAATTTATGCATCACAACTACACAGAACCCTATTCTACAAAGCCTCGAATTTCTCCAAAATTACCCACCAGAAGAGACACAACATGGCTCTAGAGGTCTCCAACAGCTTGTTAAGCAGTATGAGGCTCTGCTGCCCAGCATGGATATACACACTTGGGGCTTAAATTGTACTCAACCTGCATACTATCAGGATGAGTAGCACACAGTAGTGAAGTTGGGCTGGTTATTAGTTTGCTTTTATTAAATAATCTTTCTTCACCATTTTTATAGGCATATTTGAAGATGCAGGAAAATCTGATCACTGGGAATGTGTCCACATTGGATGATCAACTCCACTGACATTAGACTCATTTTTCCTCCAGAGAAATACACAGAGCCTTTCAAAGGGAACACATGCTAAAACTGCAGCTTGCAAGGCAGTCTGTGACAGCCTGTCTGCCTGTGCCTGGACCACAGAGACTGCTACAGAAATCACAGCTCAAAACATCAGTGTTTCTAAGGAGTTTAATTACCCAGTGTTTTGATCAAGATGTAGTAGTCATATCAGCAAGTCCTCATCTATCAAAAATTCTTCCATGCAGGAGCTAATAGAGTTAGGAATGTGGGCTGATTAACAGGGATCTAGCTCTGCCTGGTGACGTCAGCCACACTTGCTGTTTCTGTTTGCTACCAAGCACTGCATGTGAGCAATGTTAAGTACAGACTTATGTCAACACCACTGTTACAGTACAGCATGTTAGGGGCAATTTTCTTCTTTGCCTGCTCAGAGAAGCCATCACTGATTATTTGCTAGAGCTGTAACTTTGGTTACCTTCATATAAAATATTTCTCACTTCAGACAGGGCACTTTCCCTCAACATAACAGAAAATGCAAGATATCTCACAAATTCAGATGCACCAGAAGCCTCTGGAAAACATGTCCATACAGGATTGGAAGCAACTCTTTGAGAGAAAGAAGGGACTCAGAAACAAACATTAGCAAACTCTGAGCAGCTCTGGGACAGAGCTCTGGGAGATCCTAGGCACTGAGCTCTTCACTAGAGGCTATTTCCAAATACCTTGTTGTACAGCTCTTCCTGGTCTCCTGGTCAGAATTCTTACACACAAGCTGAGGTATGGCAAAGTTCTTTAATGACAATATTAATTTATTTTCATCGGTAAAGCAATCTGTATGACCATGAATTTTGAGCGACCAAGCACCTCAAGAACACAGAAAGAACAGGAAACTACAGCAGCAGCTGAAACAAAAAATTGTCTGGTGAATAAATCAGACAGATTATTATTATTATTATTATTATTATTATTACTACTATTATTATTATTATTACTATTATTATGCACATAATCAGTCCCTTCTGAGCTGGAGGGACCCTCACATGTCATTGTGTCTCACTCTTGAATAAATAGCCCATAAGGGGACCAAAACTGCTGTTTGTGTGCCCTTCCATCCATGCATATGGATATGCAGCAACAGAAATCACATTAAAGGGGTATCAAGCCCTGCCAGGCATTTCTAGAGCAGTGTAGGTCCCTATCTGCATCAAGGAAATGTGTACCAGCCTACTAAATTGATGTAAGATAAACCATCAATATGGTCTTATGTTAAAGGCAAACTTGTTTATAAATATAAATCCCAAATATTACTGTTATGCATTAAATCAGCATATATATGAATTTCAGTGTTAGATGTCAACAGCTGCATTATGAGTGTGCAAAAAAGTAGACAATGGTTTAAGCACGTATAAAGACTAAATATGCTATAAAGACTTAAATGCTAAAAATGTGGCTTTCTAGCTAACAAGTTTTATTTCCTATTTTCTAGGAAATCAGCACACAATTGGCTCCTGATTTCCACAGGCTCCAGGTTTTTATTCCTGTGTGGTTTTACAACAGCTAATGCACAAAATCTATGGTGTTTGTACGTCTGTGTGTGTCAGCTACAGAAGACGTAAAGGCACTTCTTGTTTTTCCTTCTGCCATATCTGACATTCACTTCTCAGTGAAAAATACAGCCTGATTATTCAGCAGAAGTCTTCCACTCTTGTGTATCCAGAATACCAGAGGACATCACAAGGGGCTCCAAATCAGCAAGTAGTGCCAATTCCATGGACCTGCACTCACATAATCCTTCAAAAGTAATTAATCTAATAACATCGTCAGGAAACTTTTCCCCAAGTTTTATGCTAATTTATTCTTCTGGGAAAGTACTGTTTGTTGGTTTTGGGGGGTCCTGGTTTTGCAGGGGAGTTGTTTGGCTTTTTTCCTGCAATACAACTTCCTGTTCATTAGTCTTTCTGTAATCCTACCACAAACTATCATTTGTGACTCACTGTAATCCCCACTGCACAGTAAGGTATTCTGCACATGGGCAAAAGACAACTATGTCAACATAATTCGAAATGGCTTGACAGACACAAACCTAGATAAGGACAAATAATGAACATAGAAGCTCCATCCTAAAAGCTTCTGCACTCCTCAGTGGAGACTGACAGCAGTGAGCAGAGGGTGCTGTGACTAGATAAACACAAAGGGCCGCTGCTCAGAAGCAAGAAGAAGCACAGACACATTAGGGTTGGAAGGGACCTCGGGAGATCATCCAGTCCAACCCCCTGCCAAGGCAGGGTCACCTAGAGCAGGCGACAGGAACACATCCAGGTGGGTTTGGAATGTCTCCAGAGAGGGAGACTCCAAGACCTCTCGGGCAGCTGTGCCAGTGCCTTCGTGTTGAGGTGAAACTTCTTGTGTTTTACTTTATGGCCATTGCTCCTTGTCTTGTCTCCGGCTACCAAAGATTCTGGAACCATCTTCTTGACATCCACCTCTGAGATATTTACATGTATCACTGAGATCCCCTCTCAGTCTTCTATTCTATAGACTAAACAGGCCCAGCTCCCGCAGTCTCTCCTTGTATAGATGCCCCACACTCCTCATCGCTTTCCTGGCTCTCTGCTGGACCCTCTCCAGTGCCTCCTCATCTTTCTTGTCCTGAGGACCCTGTCCAGAACCTGTTGGCTGCCTCACCGCGCCGACGCCCGGCAGCTTTTCGGGCCGTCGCCCGCCGCCCCAGTGCCTGGGAAGCGGCCGGTGCTCAGCCAGGCCCCGCTGCCGAGCTCAGCCCGCCGCGGGGGCTGCACCGTCACACGGGGCCTGCCCCGAGCCCGCCATCGACCGCCGCGCCGAGGGCCGCTCACACCCGCACACGGCGGGCACAGCGCTTACCCCAGTCCGAGCGCAGGGCTCCCGGGGCGGGCCCCGCCCGGTGGCCGCTGCGAGGGGCTGAGCGGGCGCGGAGGGGCCGCCGGGGAGCAGCGCCAGCAGCAGCCCGGCCAGCGGCCACCGCATGGCGGCAGGCGGACCCTCCGCGGGACCGCGCCGCGGAGATTTGCCAGGCGTTGTCCCGAATCAGGCCCGGTTTCAGCCGCCACATCCATCCACCATTGGTCTCCTCCCACCGCGGCGAGGGCGAGGGGCGGAGGGCCCCCGAGCAGCGGGACCTCCCCTCATGCCCTGCCTTCTCCTCGCCGTGGGGCCGGGCCCCGTGCGATGGCGGCGGTGGACGAGTGCTCGCGGGCCGTGGGGCTGCAGTTCTGGGCGGACTCGCTGCAGGCGCTGCCTGCCCTGCTGGTCCCCTCCGTGCTGCTGGGGCTGCTGCTGGGCGCCGCCGCCGCCGCCCTGCTCTGCCGCTGCGCGCTCGGGCCGCGCCGGGGCGGAGAGGTACGCGAGGCCGGCGGGGAGGGAGGCGCGGGCCGGCCGCGGGCGAGCAGCTCGGGGGAGCAGGAGAGGTTTGCGAAGGTTTGAAGGGCGGAGGGCCCGGGAGGTGCCGCCTGCGGGATTTGCCCCGGACAGCCTGGGCTGCGCCCGGGGCGAGCGGGGCGGCAGGGCGCGCTCTGCAGCGGGGTAGGTGGGGAGCCTACTGTGATTTCTGCCGCACCTCTGCTGGAAAGGATTTCCCTACTTCTTTTAAATAGTTGCTGCAAGAAACGCACTAGCTCTAAAAGGAGGCCGGTGAAAGTGTTTACGTGTTCGGAGTGTTGCCCCCCTGGCCTGTATCTCTAGCATAAGTGACCTGCAAGTTGCTTCTCGCAACCACCGCTTCGTGTACGAGGCAGTGTTGCTTTTGGGGGTAATGGAAGATGGACCCGGTTTGCAGAACCTTTGTGAGATAATTGAAAATAAACACTAATTTCCGCCCTAAACTATTAATGTTATTTCCGAAGTATTCTAAAACTTTTCCGAAGTTCATGTTACAGCACAGCACAGAGTATTAGTACTAGCCCACAACAGTAACTTTGCACTGAGGGTATGCACATGGATACCTAAAGAAATAAAGGAGCCTGAGCATTGTTGATGATTTGCTTGATGCCAGACTAACAGGGTTTTCTAAAGTGTGTGATTTAATTAATAACATGCGTGCTGTTTTCTTTTAAGTACTGTGGTTTGTATCTCATTATTTCATAATATTTGTTTGGACTCAAAGATTGCAGAGGCAGCACGCACCCATTTAGCAGGCAGATATATTTTCTGAGAATTGTTATTGGTTTGTGCTTTATTCTGCCATAGTACTTAGACCCAGGTCATGCTGGACTGACTGGATGTAGCAGTGCTTGGTGCTGGCACAGCTGGGGGATTTGGACCACTGCAGAGAGTTCTGCCAGCCTGCAAGTGAGGGGTCTGGTCTGGCTTGGTTTTTCACCACACCTCTTTATGAGTTATAACAGCTCTGTTGCATGTTGTTGATCATCATTAAACATGACATAGGAGACAAATTCTCTAGTTCCTAACTGCTTTTAAGTTGGAGGATTGAAGCTGTTTGAAGCCAGACTTTAGCCTAGTTATGGGGCACTTCAAATGCTGGATCAATACATCCTGTGCAAGTGCAAGACTTTCTGATTCAACTGCTCATTTCCCTTGCCTTAATGGGTGTATTTTTATTGTACTGCCACTACCAACTCAAATGTAGCCATGTACAATTTAATCCTTCATGTCATAAATGTCAGTAGGGAATAGAAGCTGTCAGTTCTCCCTGGTCTGGATCTTCAGCTGCATTTAGATTTTTAAATGCCATGAAAACCAATGCTCCTGCTGTAAAAGGGTTGTTTATTTTGAAAGAAAAATAAACTGCTTGCTGGTGCATACAGAGCACATTGTAAGGTGGGAAGGTTGTATCCTCATAGGTGTGAGTCTGATTTCCCCAGCTGAACAGGCTGTTCCTTCTTCCCAGTATCTGCCCCACCAATGCTATGGAGAAAGGAGGTGCTGAGCTGCACCTATTGCAGCCTTCTGTATCCAAAGTTAAAAGCAGGATAGCTTTCCTGAGTATAATGTGTTCCATCCCAAGCACCTAAATTATCCTTACCCTGGCAGCAGGGCAAGTACCTGGAGTCAGAAGCAGCTTTAAGCACCACAGTAAGCCAACACATTTGTCACTTAGCCCCAATTAATCAGTGTTTAATAGCTCTCAGCCTGAATCTGTTGCACTTGGATGCATGGAGGATGCATAAGTCTCTTATTTGTTGATTTGTACATAGGATAGACTGGGATAGTTTTAAGTAGAAATCTTTACCGTGGTAACAAATAAATTACATGATTGCTGAGGGAGATTTGTAGCTGCTCTTTTCTCATAAGTAGATTTTTAGGAGCCAGCATCTGCACTTCAGCACATTGAGAAGGCAAACCCAAGAATATAATCTGAATTATTACACTATCTAAGATCCGGAGAGGTGATAGAGGCAAGTTGTAAGGGATTAAATGTGTTCCAAAGCTGGGCTGTTCTCTGTGTTCTGGGAAAATGGACTACTTGACATACCTGTGGCTGAATAATTTAAGGCAAACCTTTCCATAAGGCAGTGACGTGTAGTGGCTGCAGCTGTATGATTAGACTACATCAAAAAGTAGTCAGTGGATTGAAAACCTGAAAAATAATTTTAAAAGTAGTCCATGTAGTGTGGCTGCCATCTTTTTCTTCGCTTAAAAAAATAATGTCCTTCCAATGCTGTGTTTGGAGGGAGGCACATTCGTATTGTTTTCTGATCTCTACAGTGTGTAGGGAAGATGTGTAGCAGGAGATTTCATTTCCACACAGTATCTGTGTCCCTATCAGTGCCTTTTTGTGCTTGTGAAGTGAGGCCAATAATATGGGCTGCTTTTGGGGAAGGAAGGTGATGAACATTTTTTGAGAGTTACTTCTCCATGGCAGGAGCTTCCACACACATAAAGCTTCATTTAGGAAGTTTGTCTCCTGGCCAGGGAGCAAAAATACATGGCATTCTCTTTATTGCTGATAATTACAGACAATTTTAGTTAACTTGCTTGTAATTGAGATGTTTGAGCTCAGACCATGAGGTTGACTCTATAGTCTGTAGTATGACATTTTGAGAGAGAGCAGATGAATTGATCTGTCATGTTTACAGCCTCTTAAATTTTTAGATTAAAATTCTACTTCTGGAATGACAAATTTGAAAAGTTCATTAATTTTAATTATTCCTTTCTGAATATATAAAATTTTCATTCGTTTTCAGATTGTATTTTTCCAAAATTTTCAACTAATACTGGAATAACTTTTATGATGGAGACATGAATGTATCCAGGCTGCTGTGGAAGATGTTTCCAGTTAATCTGTATGATCTCAAGTGTTACATTTTATGTTTTCTTTTGGAATTTCAGAAAGATGATTCTCAAAGACTTCTGGAAAGCTTCAGCACTGATGAAAAAGAGCACACACTCGTGAAAAGTAAAGCAGAACCCTATTCATCAAAAGAGGAAATGGTGCTGGAGGTAAAGCTCTGCTCTTGGGTGTCCATTTTGCTGCATGTAGCAGTGAGCATGTTCAGGGCCTGCTTCAAATTGTCTTAGTGGGTTTGGAGAGAGACTTTAAAAAGTGTTCAGAAAAAGTGTAAGATGGAGAGTGGGAGTTGATTGCTGCTTATGAATGCAACCATTTCGAGCACTTATTCCCCTTATGAATTCCATTTCCCCATGGGCACTCTTTGGATATTTTAATCAAGATCCTGAGTTCTTTTTTGACAGTCTGCTTTGCTTTCATCTCTATGTCCTCCTTAGTTTCAAATGCCTGATGGGATAAATTAACACTATTAACATAAGAAAAAGTTTGTAAGTACTGAAAGACCACTGTGAGCTGGGATTCAAAGACGATTAGAGAACTTGTGAAAAAAAATAGAAATATAAACTTAACAACCCACTCTCAATGAAAATGTAAGTAACTTCACTTTTTTTTAGTCATTAGATCACTGTCTTTCACCCAAAGCTGATTTGACTGCTCTTGCTGAAGCTAAAGATTGTGATTTAAACTGCTCATTTAAAAATATGCAGTTCAGCTGACTCTTTCAGTCTATTATACATAAATAAAATACATGCATAAAATGTCAGTCAAAACCATCCAGTCTGGTGCTTAGCTTGTAACAAGAAGTGATTTCAGGATTTCAAGAAAATGTTATTGTTAACATTTAAACTGTTGGTTTAAATCCTGACAGGTGATGAATCTTCATTTCAGCTTTGTGATCAGGAGTGGTGGCAAAACATGCTGGTCATTTTGCTTGAGTTAGAGTAGAATATAACAAATGAGCATG